CTTGGTATGGCCTGCGTTATCACTGTACCTGTACACAGTATTACAGATATGAATTCGCAGAAGTGTTTGTTACTTTCCTCATCATGAATTTATCTCCGAATATGAGCCTTTTATTATATTGTAAACTATTTACTGAAATGTATATACATCATTTTAAATAAAATTAAAGAGGCCAACATTCGCGGGCGAATGCAACATGTCTCCGCCAAACAATCCCAACATGGCCAATTTTGACACCAGAAAAATCGAAAACTGTCTATATCACTGCTTGGGACCCGTATCTTTGTATCAAATCCCATGTAAGTTGGTTGACATACACATGGATAGTTTACGAAAACTCTAAATTGTGCTTTACTCGCTGCAAAATTGAGCAAAAGATAAAAATTCCAAAATTGTCTATGCCTCTACTTTTAACCTGTAAAAAAAGTATCTGTGCAAAATTCCATATAAATTGATCGAAACACGGCTAAGTGATTGGCCAAGAGCCCTACAAGTGACCTCCATAAAAATCACTAAACATGGGCATATCCCAGCTTTTGTATGTCTGTGTATGGGACCGGTAAAAAAAAAGTATCTTTATACCAAATCCCATATAAATTGGCCGAAATACGGCAGATTAATTGTCAAGAAACTCTAAAATTATGTTTTTGTGGCATCTTTACCCCCCCCCCCCCATAATTACTAAAAATAGGCAAGCCCAACATTTTTGGTTATCAACGTGTGGGATCTGTAGAAAAGTATCTTTTTTACCAAATCCTCTGTACAATTGTCAAAATACGGCCGAGTAATTGACCAAAACCCCCCAAAATTATGTTTTTTGTGAGCTCTGACCCTCTAAAAAGGCTCACAATAGCCAAACCCAACCTTTTTAAATGTCAATGTGTTGGACACATGAAAATATATATTTGTGCCAATTTTCATCTTGATTGCTGTAAATATGACCGCACAGGAGCCTAAAATATTATACATATTTGGGTTGTTTGACCTTTTACCCCATAAAATCATTTAAAAAGCTTAAATAGAAAAGGAACCTGGGCGTATTGAGCCAAGGTATAACCCCTACCAAGTTTCATGTTTATCCGCCAAAAAGTAAAGAAATGGCAGTCGATTGAAAAGTGTTCGGAAGAAGAAGAATGAGAAGAAACAATAGAAAACAGTAAGTCTCTCTGCTGAGACGGAATTAATATAATGCCAATAAAGGTCCAATTCAAGCTTATATAAACACGACGGATTGTAATAAGTGAATGATTCGATAATTCATCTTATTTTTGACCAAAGATTCACATGCGGAATATGACTGCTGTTTTATTTTTACATACCTCATTGTATTAAAAATCCTAACAGTCATTGTGCATATTCAGGAGTTAGTTTTATGTTTCATACTTTAAAATGTTCAGGATCTTATCTTTGTTTGATACGTTTAAAAAAGGAGCTGTGCTACTTTATATTTTAAATTAACTGTTAGTCTTACAAAATTATACTCTGTAAAATGTTTTAAAAGACGTGTATGAAAGTCTAAAAATGAACATATCTGTAATCTACGAATGATCGTAATCAAAATTGATTGAAAGTATTCTAACGAAAATTAATGTTGAACTTCTATATTAATTACCTGTCACAGGAAATATGTGTGACTCAAAACTGAAAGTAATTCGTAAAAAAATATCTTTACTTATTTAGAAAATACTAGGCTATAAAAGAGTGTCGTGAAATCCCATCAGACAAATATACAAAATGACACTTTATTAATACAGAGATAAGTGTGTCCATAATATCTCGATTATTAATTCTTTTAGTTAAAAAATAATGCACTGTGTAACCACAAAAAGTTTTTTAGGGCTATCAACAATGCTCTGTTGGATAACTATCAACTAAAGTCATTAGACGGATTGATTGAAGTGCCTGTACAGCAGCTTAAGCTTCGCAAAATAAATGGAAAAATTTTCGTTGTGAAGCCCGACCAGAACACTACTGGAATTGACAAAGTTTTGTTGGACACGTGGGACAATTTTGCTTTGAGAGAAGGTTACGACGTTGTCATCAGATGTCTAGGTTTTGATTTTGACGACGATATGTTTCCCAAGTAAGTACATTTTACCCTGGTATCAAATGAGTTCGCACACTACTTAAATACATGATAAAGTTAATGCATTATAAGTTGTTCAAATAAATGTGAAATCACTCATTGAATTGCAGCATACATTTTCTCTGAGCATATTTAATGTTACTTCAAATAAGGCTGAGACAAAATGTTAATGGTAGCTATATTTTTTATCTTGCTAAAATCTAAAGCTTTTACACAAAGTAACTGTACTTGTACTTCGTGTTATTAACTGTACTTGTACTTCATTACTAGTATATGTTATTTTTACTTCTTGTTTTAAACTTGGAATAACATATACTTAATGAGAAAATAAAAAATAGATAAAACCCACCATAGAAGAATACTGAAACCAGTAAAGGCAAAAGAAGAGTTTTGATCATTAAACGTATGATTATTTTTACCTTTGTGATTTTATGTATCAAAAACGGGGAACCTTAACTAAATCAATGAACCTCAATAATTTATCAGAAAAATCTTTAAAACACAGGAATTAATCGCAATATCTAATGTCGTTTCCTGTCTGTTGACGCTATTCCTTGTTTAGACGTTTGGTTGATCTGCTATTGAATAATTACCTGAGAAAAGAAACATTTAATTCAGCAAACATTACACGTTTCCCCAGAAGTCTTTACCTCTCAATTAATAAATTGTAATTTTCAAGGATTCTCTGTTTTTTAACCACTCTAGTGCCTAAACTTACAACTGAATCGTTTAAAAACTGATACTCAATAATTTCCTTCCGTAAGCCTCTTCTTTTATAATTTTACTTATATATTAACTAAAGTTGAAGATAAGGTAAAAAAATAACAATATAAATGTATTTCCTAAACGATTTTGAACTACCAATTGCATTAATTAGAAGTGAATTCCAACTGCTAAGCTTTGCTTTAATTCAAAAAGTCCTGATGACACTACAGTATGTGTGAGTGATAGTTGCGGTTCTTTCTCATGTGTAAAAATGGGTGATTTATCTTCTAGTTAGGGTTTTAAAATGTTAGATTTATTCAATGGAAAATTTTGTATGCATCTATTTATAGTAATAGGAGAATTATAAAACCAATTAAAATGACTTTTGTAGATTGTAATGCGAAATTTAATTAAACCGATTAGCCACTCGTTATTTCAAACTGTAATCCGAATAGTAATCGTGTGGTGTGAAATGAATGACCATATATTTATTGGAAGGAAATTCCTTCTTACATAAATTGAAAGCAAAAGTCATTGAATATGTAATATTATTTCACCAAAATCCGCCAGAGGTCTTACTTTTAGCACAAGTACCGCATGTTACAAAGATATAGAAATATTTTCTGAACATCAAAATAAATTATTTTTTTCAAATTTCCTCTGACCTCATCAGTTTTATAAGCAGCGGGAAATATGAGATTCAACTGGTTCGTTGTCAAGAAATCAACAATATAAACTGAAGAAAAAAAAAAAGAACGAATAAAGAAAGAAAATGTAATTTGGAAAAACTAAAAACAAAGCACCAGATGATCTAACTCCTTTCCTAATGGAATATAGATGTTGTTTTCTTTCAATCTCTTCAAAACCACAATTTTTCAACTGCATTATTGTCTCCTTCCATACCTTCATTGAATACAGTGTAATGTAAAACGCAGCTTTAAAAAATATGCCAAATAAAAAACCAGAAGTTTACAATAGCTGATCTTAATACTCATCTTAAAGCACGGTATAAGTTACAAACTTAGGTTAACGAGGGAAGACAGAACAGGATTAAATTCGTCTGAGAGCATATTTTCTTTAAAACAATATGACAAATAACAAGTAGCATATAAGCCTCCTATGCTTGGTCAATCAACCAACATCTTCAACAGCTTAGTGCCTACTAAGCAATTCGTTGCACTAAAATCGGCCTTTCTAATCCATAAACCTTGTTAAATAAAAGCCATGAAAAAATTAAAGCCATTTTATTAGATAGTTAAACCTATTCCCCGAAAGAAACCGCTTCTTTAACTTACTAAACCGGTCCGTAAAAGGAATCATTTCGTTGGGTAATTAAATATTTTTGTGAAAAGATTCGAAGTACTGTTTTAAGACAAAGTTAACTTCAATTTGGTAATTAGATTGCTCCACGAAATAACGAAAACTGTATACAGACAAAATATTTCATCACATGATACAGTTGTTCTTGAAAGAAATCAAGTTACTGTTCTTGCTAAAATCATTTCATTAAGTAGTTTCATGAAATAAATTTAGCTACTGCTTTTCACAAACCATTTCCATAAATAAGTAAACTGCTCTGGGAACGAATTCGAGCTGATATTCCTGCACAAACCACTTCAGCAGGTAACAACACTGCTCCTGCACAAACCACTTTAATGGATTATTGAAGTGTTATATGTGCGATATTCGGTAAATAAAAATATACATAAGTATAAGTCATCGCCATAGTACAAAAACGATCGCAGAATTTTGAGTAATTGATTATTAAGGTAAAATAAATGTAATGGTTCTGGTGTCTAGTGTGGAACAACAAGGACATAAGACACGAGTTTACGGGAAGCGGAGTAATATCCTTATTAACAGTTAACTAAATGGATAATAATACACACATAGTGCTCTTCATGAGAGATTTAAAAACGCTTTATTGCACATACCGAAGACTTAAAGTTAAAACTGAAAAGTATAAAAGTAACAAATAAAAATGAAGTTTAGATCGCTAACAACAATGTCATGAAATAACCAATCTATATTTACAAAGTAAATTTAGGACATTTCAAAATTTAAATTTTATAAGGTTAAACATTATACTAAAGACTATGAGAATTCAAACTGTTGTTGTTTTACAAACCACTTGATAAAGTAATTAAGAAGTTTCTCGAATGAGTTCAAGCTACCATTATGAAACAGCATAAATTCGTATTGTAATTGCATTATTTCGTGAACTGATTAAACCTACTGTACCTAAGCAAACCTCTTAATCGAATTAATTAAACTACTTTCGGAAACATTTCTGTTACTTTCCCAGCATGAACCTCTTTAACATTTAACTAAACTATTCTGAAAACGAATAATTACACATAACAAACAAATTTGTTACCTAGTTCCCAATTTGAAATTAGGTATCTGTTAAAGCCTCTTCCAATATTGAAAAACTGAATTATCCAGTTCCAGGTCAAAGGCCTTCTTACTAATGGGAAAATTTTAAGAGTTTGCGTCCATGTTTATGTTTTGTTTAAACATATTATCATATTTTAACAATTATTCTCACTTTTCACCTATTACTATATCTTTCTTTCAGTAAGGAATCCAAACCGAACATAGTAATATACATGGGCCGAACAAAAGAAATTTATAAAGTAACAACCTCTATGTCACAACCCCACACAACCTCTATGTCACCTTTTAATCATCTCCAAACTCTAATGTTAACATTTCTTGTCAAAAACATGACGCATAATGTAAAAATACTTATTTGTATTGTATGTTATATATTTTTTCCTGAAAGCCCTATACGCTTAACCAATAGAGGCCTGTTTAAACACAATGAGGAGAGCAACACCTCCTACACATTTTGCATGTAGCCTCGACATTTGATATAGACCACATCAGCGATATACTTCAAGAGGTGAAAGTATTAGAGACAATATAACCAGTACTGTTATATAAATACCAATTATTTCCATAGTACTTCCAAACCAATACGTAGCACTGGCCGCTAGAGAAAATACCCTAGAATCAAGCCAAACTAGCGATATACTTCAAGAGGTGAAAGTATTAGAGACAATATAACCAGTACGGCTTGATTCTAGGGTATTTTCTCTTGCGGCCAGTGCTACGTATTGGTTTGGAAGTACTATGGAAATAAATGGTATTTATATAACAAAACTATGAGTCTTCCAATATACCAGGAATGTTCTTTGTAGGAACAGTTACCCACTCCCTTGACTTTCGGCGATCATCTGGTGGATTTATACATGGATTTCGATATACAGGTAAATACTTGAAGCAATGTTTGTAAATTTAACTGACAGTCACCCGGTGTATTAATATTTTAAGTGGCTATTCTGAAATTTTTAATCCTCCATTGGATTTATATATGGTTTCTGATACAATATGTTATATTTAGTGCAGTTATCTTAAGTACCGTACGACCTTCCATTGATTTAAACACAGCTTCTAATGTACAGATGATATATTTTGCAGTTTTCCAATATTCGTCTAAAGATTCACCAGTGAATTGATACATACCTCCCATGGCCCGGCATGGCCAGGAGGTTAAGGTGCTCGACCCGCAATCTGAGGGTCGCGGGTTCGACTCCCCGTCACACCAAATATGCTCGTCCTTTCAGCCGTGGGGGCGTTATAATGTGACGGTCAATCCCACTATTCGTTGATAAAAGAGTAGCCCAAGAGTTGGCGGTGGGTGGTGATGACTAGCTGCCTTCCCTCTAGTCTTACACTGCTAAATTAGGGACGGCTAGCGCAGATAGCCCTCGTGTAGCTTTGCGCGAAATTCAAAACAAACAAACAAACATACCTACCAACGTAGAAGAAGTACTTAAATTATTTCTGATGGCTACTAACACTCCTTACTTTAATTCATTTATCATATCTAGTAGCAGGTAGTATTGTAAATAGTTTCTATAGACCTCCTTGCTATCTTTTGGCAAATTTATAAAAAACTAGTTTTGTACTGTCGATTTGTATTTTTCCTGGGTTGCTGTACTGTCGATTTGCCTTTTTCCTGGGCTGCTGATAAGGAATGGAATTCCCGAAACTGTTATAACTCAGTGACGAAGCGATGATACGAATGACATGTGTTTCGTATTTTTCATATTTATTTTTATTAAATATTGAATTAGTTTTCCAATTTTATTTTTTTTTTGGTTGTGTCTGTTAGAATTATGTATAGCCTTATGTATAGGTAGTATTTGATGTTGCATTAATCCCCTAGAGTTGAAGCTTCATTTAGCGCCATCTATTCAGTGGTTAAAAAAGAAGTGTCACACAAGCATCAAGCAAGAAGTGACTATATTACCTTCGATCGATCACACCACCAGCATTACAGGTTTATCACAATATTTAAAACAAATTCCACTTTCATTGTTACTCATATAATGAGAATAAATCACGTGTAATTTTCTAACTTATTACAGACTGGAAGTTCCAGTAACTTTCAATCACACATTGTTGTTGTTATTGTTTTATATTCAAACTTAAGGCTTAACAACTTTGAGAGTTTTAAGAAAATATAGCTACCTCGGCTTAATGTGTTATGTTAATCCACTCATTTAACTATCGACTAAGACACTCAAATCACTTTAATAACTTAATTTAGATCAAATAAAATGTACTTAACGTTCCAGTCTCTTAGATATCGATATTATTCATCATTAAAAATAATTTGCTATAGAAATCCAATTACAAGAATGCTGTACATTAACTGATGCAATTATTATAGTTTGTTGTTAAGCGTATAGCTACGCAAAGGGCTGTCTGTGCTCCTCTCGCCTTGGGTATCAAAACCCTATATTTAGCATTATAAGCATTATTATCGCTGAGCCACTGGAAAGCTAAATTATTATGGTACTTGTCCAAAGGTCAAATCCGTACCCTGCCAAGATGGCACATGGGATCTGGTGTTGAAGTCTCATATGAAATAAACTGAATACATTTTAGTACCAATAAGTGCTTGTTGTGCTGGTCACGTGTGTCCATCTAACGACCATACAAAGATTTTGCGCGTCTTAATCACAAGTTGATGTAAGATACTGCTGTTTTTTTCCATAGTTATTTTTAATAATTTTTGCTAACTGTCGGTGGGCCATTTGGTTGCCAGTTGAAGAGCCCTGCATTATGCGATATAGATCAGAGGTAAAATTATCCTTAAAGTACTGCTACTAACCTTATCTGGGACTTGGTCTCACACTGTATGAAATATTATGCACTATTCAAAGTGAACTGCTAAAATATATATAAAACATAATGCTTCAAAAAAACACGAACAAACATTGTTCCACTCGGAATTCCAAAATTACTGAATTCCGGTGAGAGCAGGTAGAATTTCATCCCTGATATAGATATATGTTAATTACAACATCTTCTTTAAAAAAAAATTAGTCACAAGTCAAGTTCGACTAACACTACGATGTTTATAAAAAGCTCTTTTCGTGATTTTACAAAGCGTTTTATTATTTCGTTTTAAACTGCTTCTAGTTAAAGAAATGGGAATAATAGCAGCCGACTTTACTAATCTATATACTAAGCTAGTTTTATGATATTTTTTTTTTCAAATGTACTCTAAGACATTTAGCCTTCTTTTACCTTTTTTTCTTTTCAAAATAATTTGTAATTATCACACACTATTTAAAAGTATTTTTTATCAATTTTACACAGTTTTTGATAATAAATATTCACAACCAGCTTAAACCCCGAGAAAGGTAATAACGTATGAACTGAGTCATTTATATTTATTTTTGGAGACTTTCGAACATTAACTACCAAATAAGCTGAGGGATTCAAACTGTAGTTTTTCTCTTAAATTTTTAAATACAACATTAATAAGCAAATACTAGTTTGACAATTGTCAAAATTAAATTATTCGCTTATTTCTTAAGTCAAATATGTTTGGTGAATAAAAAAAAATTTCTACATATAGGAATTACTTTATGCATTTAATTTCATTTTTTATTAACGTAGTTATTAAAGGCTCTGTGAACAGGATACAACATTTTTGATACAACAGGCATAAATCTCATAAGCAAAACTGTAAACGTTAGTTAACACTTTGATAACTTATTATTTTAGTCTTCCGAATACATGTATTAATATTTCTTTCAGCTCGCACATTGTTCCGGATCTTAGAATGGAAATATTACTCAACACCTTGGCCAGCGATATCTCTGCCTTTAAAACACTTTTTAAACTGGATCATAAAGAGGATCAACGAAGGTTCGGGTATTTACCAGATGTTCGGTGAACTCGGAGATATTTTCATGTTGAAAAGGTAATGACATAACAATAGTCAGAGGAAGTGTGGGAACGTAGATAGATAACGGTATTTCTTGAAGCCAAACATGTTTTATACATATTTCCGTTAAATGCTTGGTATGGTGATTATTCCTAAGCAATAGTTATGTATGTCCTACAGTTGCGCTTAATGTCTAAATGCCCATTGTTTTATAGAGAAACTGGTAGTGATAGAAACACTGTAATTCTAAGGAACTTAGAATGAGTTATGAAATATTTATACATGCATTTAATTGTGATAGTATCCAGGCAACTCTGAGGAATGTGTATTTTACAGGGAATCTAGTGGTGCAATATAAACGTTAATTAACTGTTGTGTTTCCAGAGAAAACGGTGTATTACTATAAACAAAGTAATTCCTAACGTTTAAGTAAACTTGTAGTATATTAAATAACTATAAAATCCTCACTTGTAATTGGAAATTATTAACGTATCAGAGACGATGCTGCAAGTCAGGTTCAAAAATAATACTTTCTTTATAAACTTGTAGAAGTTTTGTAAAGCTTGTTTAAATGACATACTAAAACAACCATTTTTTGTGAAATACCGTCTTCGACTTTAAGTTAGTCAAATATTGAGCCTTATTTGTACAAGTGCACTTCATAGTACTTTCTTTTTTAATTTGAAGTTTTGATTTGTATATGTTAGGGCATATTATCTTATAATGTTGAAACAAGTCTAGTTTTCGTTTATTATGAAACATTGTAGACGCTGAATAACAAATAAGCAGATAACGTGTAATTCAGTAAATTAATTTCGTAAAGTTTGATATTTATTACAAATAAAAATACACTGAAGAGGCAAAAGTGGATTTGGACTTAATTTACTGCTTTCCTTTGTACAAAATTAAATGTCTGATAACACAGGCCTGCGATAGTTTTATGATATCAATTTTTCTCCATCAGGTACAGGTTTTTCACGCAATACATAAAATAAAGACCACAACATGTAGTTTGAGACTAAAAGACGTAGACTTCACACACAAAAAAATCAGAATGGATAAGGATCCATATTCGTTTGAAATCAATGTTCTTCCCTTCTATTCAGTTTGTTTGTAGTTTTGTCAACAAACATAATAATAAAAAATGTTCATTGTGGTAAACGAGATAATAATTTGATCTAAGTAAGAGTTTGTTTTTACTCGATTTGTAAAATATCCTCATGTGATATAAAAAAATGAATATTATTTTCGAAATCTGCATAGCTGAATTATAGAAAATCCGTTATTAAAACCAAAACAACTTTTATGAAGTTTAAATTCGCAGGCCTGTGTAATTAGTCAGTTTAAACAAATAAAAGTTATTTCAAAGTTTTGTCCCTTTTTTACAGAAAATATTAATACAATATTTTCTGTAATACGCTGTAGTTTATGCCCAAGTTCAGGAAGAAAGAGTAATACAGTAAAAGGTGTTCTACTATTGTTCTATTGATTTAATACAATCGTTGTTTTGACATGCTTTAGTAGTTCTTTAATTTATTGTGTCCCTTACGTTCACTTCAATGATTTGTTTGTTCTTTATAATGTTCGACATTGTTGCCCTTGTACCTTTTATTTTAATTCGAAAAATTCCCCTTATCTGAATGGTCTTAAAAGCTGATGACAAATAAGTATAGTGTGGAGTTTAGCCTAAAAGTGTAAGTTTGTTAAGATTATCCACCTGTAAATTAACTAACAAAGACTCGGGAATAGAAAACTGGACTTGATTTACTTTATTGCTTTCCCTTAAACAAATATAACCGTTAGATGAAATAAGTAGAATAAAAACTTCGTAGTGAAGGTTACCTTGCATTGTTTGCAGTACCAAATTATTAGCTTGAGAGGGTACACCCTGCCTTTATGTGAGCAACTCTGAAAGGAGATTTAGAAGTATCCTTGGAGATGAGTGCCACTCCATACTCACAACTAACTTCTGAGCAACTGAAACTGTATGAGGTCCACTCTAGATGCTCTGACATTAAAAACGTCCCATTAAAAACGTTGTATTCAATATCTGCATTGCTCTCTGATGCCAATGGAACAGTTTCGGCTCATTACTGACTGGGAAGCAGTAGAAAACATTGTGCATATATTATCAGATAAAATGATGCAGCAGCTTCTCACGTCACAATGATATAGTATATCACCTAAAGTGTACTATCACTAACAAGATAATATAAAAAGATTTGAAAGTGACAAAAGCTCACAAGTTAAAAGTTCTTAGGCTTCCAGCTACACCTTGAGATCACTGTTCTGAAGAGAAATGGGTGAAGAAACTGAAATAACAACAATTTCATTTGACCACAGAACTGTCAAGTCACCCAAAAACATCTTCCCAAGACTTCAGCATCCAATAAGAAGATGAGTATAAGTCATCCAGGACATCAGCTCCGATGTCATCCAGACATAATTATCAAACTTGCAATAACAGCTCTTAAAGTGGATCTGGGCCTGTCCACCACTGTATGATTAAAGAAATGTGAGAAATTCTAGGCCATGCAATTAAGACAGTTATCCAGAAAGCTGGAGACCAACAGCACGTGCACAGTGGTCAGAATGACCAATAAATTTTAACCAAACTTATCAGACTGACCCTAGATCTTTACAGGATAAAACAACTATTAAGTAGGTATCAACGAAATGATGGTAGTTCATTAAAGTCCTGTACAATTTCCCTTCTTCTTCATGAAGTAGAATGTGCTTCCTGGCTCTAAAGTATTTTATTTTTGTCTTTTATTTTATTTTGATCCATCTTAGTTATGTATGAAGCCAATTAAATACGTTTATTTTTGTGCAATTTTGAGTTTAGTTTGGCTTTACTTTATTGTAACTGTGACTCATGTTTATCTTGAATTGTATTTCTTTATCTTGAGAGTTACCTGTAACCGTATTTGAGTTTGTTGTTGTTTCTTTTACGGCATTTCACTATAATAATTTGTAGTTGAACCAAGTTTGGATTTTGAGTTTGTTCGTTTGAGTTGCTTTCAAGTCAGCCAGTAAGTAGGAACACCAATACAAATTTGTTGGGAAAAAAATAAACATTTATTTATTTAAGCTTATGACCGCTGTCAGTTTTTTTTTCCTTTGCAGTTTATACTAATTTTACTCTTCTGTAAGCAAATTTTTTTGAGCCTCCTATGTTGTGTATTGTGGCTTTTTGATTTCCCTGTTGATTGAAGTATACCTGTGAACACTACACTTTAATTGCTCGCCCTGGAATAAAAAAAATCACATAACATATCATTTATGAGAACACGGCCCTGAAGCCACAATCTCAAGTCAATCAGAAAATTATGATTTTATCCACTAACGAGATAATATAAAATAGATTTGAAGGTGACAAAAGCTCACAAGTTAAAGTTCTTAGGCTTCCAGCTACACCTTGAAATTAGTGTCACTGTTCAGTAGAGAAATGGATGAAGAAACTGAAATAAGAACAATTTTATTTGACCACAGAACTGTCAAGTCACCTAATGCAGCTCTAATGGACTTTGTTTTGTTTTGTGGTCTACTTAAACGTGGACTTAGAAGCCAATGAAGGGTCTGTGCAATGTTTGACAAGATGTGTGGCTTAAGATTAATCTCACTGACTTTCATGAAAGCTCATTGCAATGGAAATTGTGGCGTCGATCAATAGTACATAGCCATCAAACTAAGCACGATCAATAAGGAAAGAAGAAGTTTTTCGGGTAGCACAGAACTTGGAACAATATTCTTAGGGGCAGTTATTTATCCTCAGTACTGTCAAATTTATATTTCAAGCTGAAAACCTGGCTAATATTACTGCGATCGTAAAGTGCGTTTTCTTGTAGTAGCTATTAATCAGAACATTAATGCTTGCTGGTTTTATTTTGTATATTATAAATATATATATATATATTCCCTTAAGAAATGTAAGTTGTTAGTTTAACCATCGTTAAACACTTTGAATCTTTTTGTTCTGTTGGCTTGTAGTTATCAAAAATAATCTTTTAATCACTTTATTTTTCGATTTCACAATACGTATTGTATTGAGTTTGCAGTTAATCTGAGTTGTAAAAGGTTTCAGATTTTTCATCCCGCAGCATCCCATAACCAGGCTTTTCACGTAACTATTTATAACTCATATACGTACATAGTTTATTATATTTTTTATTTGTTTTCAGTATACATTTTTCCAGGTGATATCCACATGAAAGGTTGTAGTTTTCAAAATTACGTTTACTGTCATTCTTAAGTTTTAAAATTGTGTACATATAAGTCTGATTAACGTCAATTTGTAAAATAAACTGCTTGAATAATTTATGTATAACAGGAATAATACAAGGGTTGAAATATTGGAAGAATTCCCTCTCCAGTTGCTGTCTCATCTCCACACCTACGCTGGACATAAGGCGGAGGAGGTGATTGTCTTGTCCATGGAGTACGGAGAGAACTTCTCCGGACCGGGGAAAGATACCCTACGAGAGGATCGTGCCATCAGTGACGTTGAAGCTGCCTACAAATCCAACTTCCTTCACCCTGTCTTCTATTATTACGAGAACATTCCAAATGGTAAACAAAATAAATTTTTATCCAGTTTCTTATTCTTGAAATGTGTTTTGAACAAACAGGTTAAATCGTTATGTTAAAATTATTCTGCATTGAGAAAATTACTGTTTTTCGTACTGCATGATGTCAAAAGCTCTAATATCTACAATCTGATATGGGGTGCTGAGTGGTTAAAAAACTGTAGCTGTGGAAGATAATATATTCTAGAATCCAGAATCTCTACTGTCTTACTCATTTCTTCTAAGTGTAAATATGGGTGATAGATATAGTACAAAATATAGAGACTTTTAAAATGAACAAAACACTATAATAGTGCAGGATGTAAAAGTTTACTTTATTTAAAGCAATGATAAGCACGAAAACCGTAGTGGTAAAATTGTCCAAAAATAAATATTAAGTATATGGTAGGAAAAACTGAAACGGTTAGTTTGTGTCTTCCTATTATTTAAACCACCACTAATAACGCTCAAAACTGGGTTTCGATACTCATGGTGGACACAGCACAGACAGCCTATTGTGTAGCTTTGTGCTCAACAACAAATAAACAGAACACGAAACAAATTACCAAAGCCTTGGCTCCATAAACTGACGATTTTGATACGACATTTTAAGCATGTATAATTTCTCTGTAGTCTTAAATTCGAAAATTATATTTTATAAATTTTAAAATATTTCTTACAGCATACAAATAACTGTGTAAAAAAGGTGTAAAATTTAAAGGATATATATTTTGTATTCGATTAAAATTATTACTTTCCAAACAATTTTTTTAAGTCTTTTTGATATATATTCTAGGAAGTGTGATTTTATTTCTCTTTTTTTCTCACCAGAGACACAGTTCGTTCGAAGCCGCTCAATTCTTCCCCCTCCTAAACGTATTCATCACGTCTTGGAAGACTTTCTTACAACATGGACTGCAGAAGTTATGCACATCTTGCCGCTTCGTCGCTATTTGGAAAATTCCGTAGATCGTGATCTCCGAAGTTTCTTTTCAAATGACTGCCTCCAGATGTCGCTAACTCATTCTTCACCGCCTTTGTCTTGCGAGCAAGGATTTTTGATGGGTCAAGGACTGAGGTTACAGAAATTTATGATAAAATAAAACTATCTTATTACGAGTATATTTTGTAATGTATTGAAGTGGCATAGAAGTAATAAGTGAGAAACAGGTCGTCACTGCTAAGCCTTTTTGCTGCTTGGTGTCGCGTTTACATAGGCATTGCTGTCTAGGGACCATTTGGGTGAAAAATCATAATCCTATATTTTATTAAATGAAACGTCTCTAAAATGTTAAACTTTAGAGAATTTGGCTTATAGACTAAATTACATTAAATTTTAGCACATTAATAGTAAACAGGCTTAGATATATTATGTGTTTGTGTTAATCAATTTCAATATATATAATTATGTACAAATTAGAATACCCAAGAGCTTTCGGAAGGTTGATCTCTTAAAACTGTTGGGTTTCTTGAATTGTGGTTTATTTTTTTTATCCTACATGGTTCTTAAATATCATGAACATAGTTATAAACTACATCCAAGTGCGCATATAAAAATAAAAGATAAAACATTAATTGTAAAGTAAATTGTAACTTATATTTAGTTTACTGATTTTGTTACAAAAATATCAAAGTGTATTCTTTATAAGACTAAATTAATATAAATATCTACAAGTATTCAGTTTTTCAAGTAAAAACTACTATTGATAAAAAAGATCATTTTTAAAAGTTTGCTTTAACTGGATTATATATATTACTAGTTTCTTGTCATGTCGCAAAGTCATGAAGGTTTCATTGAAAATATAAATATGTGGCAAAGATCAAATTATTCAGATGTTGATGCATTAGTTCAATTTTGTTTTGAATGAAAGTTTCTTGTATTTAGTTTCTTATTTGTAGGAAAACAAATGATTCCTCTGGTGGCGTTTAGAATAATAGGCAGAGAATTAGTTACTTCTGTTGAAAATAAGGCGTTTTTATTCTTAATCATGTATTTGACTTTTCGTTCATTTCTACACACTTTATAAGCTCCCTTGTGGTCTTTTTCTAAAACTATTAAAAGTGATTTTAATGCAGTGATAGAATACTGCCCAATTGACAGTGTTGAAAACACGCAGAAATGTGTTTAAATGAAAGTTAATCGCTAATTAGATATTCACAGCTACCTTTACATAGTACTTCAGTAAATAGATAATCTGCCAATTAAGTCCCTAAAAATAAAAAACCACTGTAATAAAAATAATAACAATGGTATGGTCAAAGTTTTGGAAAAACGAACTTCTTTAGGTATTTGACCTCATAATTAGATTTTCCTTTGTAGAGATTTTCATTATTTATTTTGTGTTTTCAGCTTTTATCACGCTGTAGCTACATTCAACCATGTCCGTAGTGTTGAATTTGCAATTGAGTTAGTCAATACATTAATGGGTAAAACGTTTAACTCACTTAACATGAGAAAAACACTTCATGTTAAGCCAGTTCTGCTGTTATATACATATATATATATACACCTCATTTGATGTGACAGCACGTCTGTCGTTATTGGCACTATATAATGTGTAAATACCTGCATGCATTGCCGTTGTTTGTTAAATGCTGTGTGTACTAATAAGTATACCGTTGATTTGTATAACCTGCTATGACAGCAACTCATCTAGAACAATTGACTCAAAATTTTCCTATTTATGTTTTTCCATATCTAACCATACATATTTATGCCCCCACTGAAACATTCTACTTAAGAATTGAGTATCAACTTACCTTAGTAAATTTTGAAAGTGATGTTACTTAATCATAATGGGCGTTTACCAGCGTTTGATGTTCAGTACAGAGGCCTAAGTCTGATAAAAGATGGCGTCACTCTTCTATAGTAATCTGGATAAATATAAATAATTTAAATAGTTATTCTAACCCCTACACATATTATTATAGTACTGAAAGCTGCTGAGGAAGTAATATTCAAATTTTTGTTATAAAGAAGAAATACTGATTAACGTGATCGAATTTTGTTTCAATTCGGCAGAAGTTTCCTCATTTGTTGAAAATTCCGCCGCAACAAGTCTTCCATATGTTATAATAACTGGTAATACTAAAGTAAAAGCTGTCATGTGTATATTCTTATTGTACTGAAATAAATGTAAGTGTGTGAATTAAAGCATAATTTCATTAACACTGTGTAGTAGCATTATTAGTTTTAAAACTTATATGGCAAAAATCCACTCCATATATGGATTTCACTCTTAATTCCTGAAAAATATGCTATTTGTTTTATCCTAGGACATACGTCTCATTCCTATCAGGAAATAAAGATCCTCTTTATTAATTAAAACACACTTTGTATTATCCGATAATTATATATCTGCATACTGTGAAATAGAATAATTATTTTGTTTTGATTTGGTTTGT